AATTTTGATGGCACTAGCATTATCTACAAAGAGGGGAATTGATGGTAGTGTCTCCTGTAGTATGTCATATAGTAGAGACCTAATCCATATAATTTCTTTACATACGGAGGACATGGCTTTATATTCAGCTTCAATAGAAGATTTTGAAATTATAGATTGTTTCTTACACTTCTAGGTAATGAGTGAGTTACTAAGAAAGACACACCATCCTGTAGTAAATCATCTAGTGTTTGGACAACCTACCCAATCAGCACTGACATAGGCAGTAAAGCTGGTGGATGAGGAGTAGGCGAAGTATAAGCCATGAGATAAGGTTCCTCTCAAATATCTAATAATCCGATGAACTGTGGACATGTGGGGTTGTCATGGAAATGAGACAAATTGGCTCATTATCTGGACTACATATGATATGTTCGGCCGAGTCATCATGAGATATATTAAGATACCCACCAACTATCGGTACAGAGTAGGATCTTTAAGAGGAGAGCCCTCATCCTTGCTTAATTTCAAATTAACCTCCAAGGGAGTATCAACAGTCTTGGAGTCACTGAGATTAGCCATTTTGACAAGATCCATTGCACACTTATGCTGGTTAACAAAATAGCTATGGGAATTACAACTGACCTCATGTCCTAAGAAGTAGGTTAAAGGGCCCAAATCCTTCATCTTAAAGGAGTCACTATGGAGTCTTTTCAGATCAATGATTCCCTCCACATCATTCCTTGTAATAGATGTATCATCAACATATAGAAGGAGAAGAGTTATACCCTAATTCTGATGCAAAATGAAAAGAGAGTGAACAAAGTTGACTGCACAAGTAGTCAACTTCTCAAGATACTCATACATGAGAGTCTTGAGAAAGTACTCATACATGAGATGTATGAGTATCTTGAGAAGTTGACGCTGCTTGTGCAATCAACTTGGTGCATTCATGGGGTGGAAGATGAACAAAGCAAACATAACCAAAAACTTTGAACAAGGATAGGTTAGGAGGTTTGTGAAATAGGGACTGGAATTGAGAGGTATTATTTAGAACAAATGATGGACGAATATTTATTAGGTACACAACAATGTTGGCTACTTGCACCCATAACCAAGAAGGAATATGAGAGTCTTACAGAAAGGTCCAAACTACATTCAAGATGTGTTTATTCTTTCTTTTTGCTACTCAGTTTTGTTCTGTAGTACCAGGACAGGATTTTTGGGATTGGATTCCCTGTTCTTTCAAATAAGCCTGAAAATTCCCATCAAAGTATTCTCCCCCTGAATCAGATCATAGGATACATATTTTTTCTTTGAATTGGGTGGCAACATAGGCTCAAAAATGTTTAAATTTATGATAGACTTTAGATTTCTTGCAGAGGAAATAAATCCAAGTAAAGAGAGTGCAATCATCAATGAAAGTAACAAAATATTTGAACCCCAATCTAGAAGTAATTAGAGACGACCAAACGTCACTATGTACTAAATAAAAAGGTAATATTGCATGCTTAGAAGGAGAAGGAAAGGGTAAAATATGACTTTTGCTCAAACAACAAGTAATGCAAGATTTATTAATGTTTTAAAAGAAGCAGTAACATTAGGTAAACTACCAGAAGCAAATAGATAATCAAGTTTCTTAGTAACAGGATGACCGACGCATCTATGCCACAAGTTCCAGTCATTATTACAATTAAAAAGTTCAAAACTAGATGCAATAGAAAATAGACAAGAGGGAGAAATTGAATCAATTTTCTTCTTCTTAAACTCCAGAGCAAATAGTCGACCCAATCTACGCTCCTTCCCCTTCACCTCCCCAGTTTGTTGGTCTTGTATCAAACAACCATTAGAGGAAAACAAAATAGTATTACCATCTTCCCCAAGTTGACCAATAGAAATCAAACTAATTATTAATTTGGCCACAAATAATGTCTTGGGTAGGTGAAAATAAGATGATTTAGAGGTAGATAAGTGTAAATTATCACAACCAAGTATATATAGTTATTCACTATTTGCAGTGGTAATGTGTCTATTGGAAAGATGGGGTTTAGGAGACTGACCAACGGAGGCCCCCGTCATATGATTAGAGGCACTAGAGTCTATAATCCAAAGATGGTTTGAGGAGGGACAGAAGGTAGAAGACTTACCAGACAAGCCAATAGTTAAGAAAGTGGAAGAGATAGCCGAGGACATGAGCTGTCGAATCAGATCTTCAGAAATACTACCAGAAGAATTATTCTGTGAAGTCACTAATGTAATGGTAGATGAGGCATCTAAATTCTCCATGGTTGTCTCATAGGCTTTATAAGATCATTTCTTCTAATTAGATCCATTTCCTTTTGGTGGCCAAGTTGGACATTCTATAATGATATGTCCCTGCTATTTGCAATACATGCATGTGTTATTCTTCTTACAYTGTGAGACAACATGTCTGAACTCTTTGCATGTTTAGCATTAAATTCAGGAGAAATCCTTCTTCCCTTTTGATTTGGTTTCTAGGAAAACAACATCAATAGTAGAGTCTTTCCTCCCATCAAGTGTGGTCTATGTAGTAAGTTTGGTTTTAACTCTTAGAATTTCCCCAAGAATGGTATCTAAATCAGGAAGAGTTCCTTAGCTCAGGATATTAGACTTGACAACTTCAAACTTAGGTCTGAGATGCATTAGGAAATGCATAACCCTTCTATCAAAGTGTTCCTTCATATACCTCACACAACGATTCGATGGATCCTTTCCCATATGTACTAACTCATATCCTACCTAGAGGTTAATAAACCCTACATAGTACTCTTGGACCTTTCTCTCTCCCTGATAATATGAGAAGATATCGACCTTTATTTGGTACTGCCTAGAGGTGTTTGATTGCTGATATACCTTCTCAAGATACTCATACATCTCATAAGTTGTTCTATAACCTCACATAGGAATGGCAATGTCAACCTCAATAGATCTGAGGATCCATGATGCAATCTTTGCATTATCAATTTTCCACTAATTGAAAGCCTTAACATCTGAGTCATCAAGTTTAGATACAGTTCCGTCTAAGTTGCCCCAAAGGCCCTTTGCCTCAACATGAAATTGAAAGTTAAAATTACACAAGGCATAGTTCGATCCATTGAATTTAGTAGGGAGGACATATACTCTTTCTGAAGCCATTATCATAAAGAAAATTACTGATTTCCAAGACTGATATAAGAGATTGAAGAAGAGATGATGATAGAGAGGTACCTTTTGATCAGATGTTCAGAAAAGGAAACTGTCACAGTATGCTGAACCAAGAGAAGGATAAAACCCTTCTTAAACCAAACCGATTTCAACCTTGCTGAAGAGGATCACAAGAACTTTGGGCGGTACTAAATCTAGAGTTTCAAGTAGATATGATGTCTCCAAATGCAGATTGAAGAGAAAAGATGAAGCTGATGGCGCAAACTTCCATATTTCAGATCTGTCAAGGTCTGATCGAAACAGCCTTGAGAGAGAAAATTCTAGGGCACAAGAGGGTTCCCAAGTATTGTTAGGAAGACCCCTAATGCCAAAGAATTCAAAGGACAGAGAATTGAGCTCAGTAGGTYAGATCGTGACTTGCTTTGATACCATGTCAGAGGCTGGTCTAGGTTTGTAAAACAGAAGAGAAAAAGACAACATCATGTTTGTGGGTGTGTCCAATGTGGAGCTCGACACCCTAGGAGAGAACTTTATATTAAAAATGTAAAAGGACCAAATTGTCCTTAGAGTAGAAGAGAAGATAGTGTACAAGAAAATGAAAATAAAATACAAGATGTAAATTACAGAAATAGCCCTCTCTCTATCTCTACATTTGTACCCATAACAAACAAAAATTGCATTCTTCACCAACATAGCCTTAGTGAATCCAAACCAATTGAAACCAGATCTTGGCTAACTGGCGTCTCTCTCTCTCTCTCTCGCCAAAATAACAATAGCATTTCCTATTGTTGCTGTACTTGCCCCCTAATATTTTGCTCAAATAGCAATCGAAATGGGAAGGCTACTTAAGCTTCTTGCCATTCTTGTTCTAGTCCTGGTTCTTGTGAGATATTTGGATACACCTCTCAAATACATTCTGAGCTTAATTGTCTTCAAAAGCGACCGCCAATATCCAGATTTAAAGCTGATACCTTCGAACGAGGATGATGAGAGCCCCTACAGGCTACAACTGGATGGGTGAAAATTCAATCCCAGAACCAACCTGGTCTACAAACATGAGCTGAAAAGGGTAGTTTAGAAAAACTGAAGATCCTTTGTTTGATCCATGAGATTCCATGAGACCAGCAGAGTGCTTCAATATGTTTACCATAGGTTCACCACCTACTTGGTAGCAAAACCTTGGAAATATATGAGTATAGACAGACTCCTGTACACTCAAGTAGGAGTGATAACCATAGCTGGAAGAACAGGATCCAGTATACAAAACTTCAAAGGTGCATGTAGCTTCTGCTACTGCTAATATATGAGTATAGCTTCAAAGGTGCATGTTGAGAAAATAAAGAAAGAGGCCCTTTGTTTCCAAGAGAAAGGGAGAAACTCTAAACTTCCAGGAGAATTGGGGATCAAATATGGGAAATTTGTTACCGTCTTCCAGGGTACAATCTTGGTGCTCTTTCTCCTTAACGAGGCAAGGGATGATTTTAAGTGCCTGTAGGTTGTAGTTAGTGATGATTATTTTAGATTTCCTAGAATATTGCTATAATGAGGGCTTTCCAATGCTATAATGTTGCACCCATTGCACCTTATGTGCAACATTAAATTTCTCATGATGCAATATTTGCAGATCTAAGTTTGTTTCATGCCAATACCAAAAATGTTTTGTACTGCATAATTTTTCAGCTATATAGATGCGGACTTTCTAAATATGTTTGTAAGAGATTTCCTAATTGGTGGAACCAAGTATTTTCACAAGTCAAAAATCATTTCAATTGATGTGCTTCGACTTGAATGCAGAGTTTGTTAGAGATCAGAACATTCAGAAGAAAAGATGGAATAAAAAAATAATGTGTGGTATATGTTCAATTTATCTGTATTGATCAGTTAAAATGACTGTAACACGAGTAACTTTCTAAATGTATCTGTAAAAGACTTCCTTGTTAGTGAAAATCAAGGATATTGACAATGGGACTAACACCAATTGAAAATCACCATTTTCAACTGTAATAAGCCCCTCTCGATAGCTCAAAGCACCACCAGATAAACAGGTGAGAAAAGTTCAGAAAAGGCCATGAAGAGCAGATCATGCAGTTATTGAGTAGAGAGGTGAAAAAAGATCTAGATAAGTGTGTTTAATCTAGAACATCTGCTGCTCATGTTCTCTCTCTCTATCTTAGAATCTGTTCTTTGTGATCGCTTTGAAGGTGAACTTGATGCCCTGGAATAACTATGACCAAACAAGTTCAGCTTGCTGATCTTCTTAGAAAAAGATCCCATAAACTTATGAGAGCTTGATTTCTCCATGTTCCTTTTCATGCTAATATGTTCCTTTTCCAGATCATTGAGTCTCATCCGCAATCGAGCTAATTCAAGCTTGAGTTCTCTATTCTCTCGCCTTAATGATGCATAATTGTCTCGGGGAGACATTGCTGCACTGAATGCACCACTGCTGATCCGCCATGACTGGTGCATTGGTTTAAGATTGTCATCTGGATAAGAGTAGCATAAGGCATTCCTGAGCCTAATCTGCTCAAAATAAAGCACTTGGACAATTGACTGTAGTGGAAGACGCTCATTTTGTGCAGCATGTGCACCTGCCTCCTCTGAGAGCTTTTGAAAATCAATCAGTTTGCACAGCATCTTTTTCTCTGGATCAGATAAACCTTGATGGGCCTGAGACATGAATTCAGACGAATAAGACAACATAACGAAAAGTTGATATTAGAGGACCATACTTCATCCAATTCAATCTCAAGATTAGATTCTAAAATGAAAATTGAGGGCAGTTTATTGTCATGTTAAAAATTGAAGTTGTTTTATTAATCAAAAACCAAATTATATTTTTCATTGTTTATTATAGGCAAGGAAAAGATATACCTACTTTCAGGTATATATCAATTGCTCGATATAGACCGTCATGTATATTACGCGCATATGCTGGTAAAGAATCTGCCATTGCTATAAACTTGCTCAGCTTGAGATTTGCATCGGCAGCAATTTCTGCTAGGTAATTGTCCAATAATTTTGCAACTTTGAACAATGCAGATTGAGAAGGAGAATGAGGGCTATCAGACCCATATGTGGATTCATCTTCTAAATCATCTTCGCTAACATCCTGCTGAGAGAAATTTACCAAAATCCTGTGAATGGTGTCAACATTGAATAAAGTATCCCCAGCATGGCGGAATGATGGAATCAAAAGATCATCAAGAGAAGCCATTTCCAGTTGTGATGCAATCCTTCTCTCAAGATTAAGTCTGCAAGAAGTTGCGCAATCTAGCATCACTGCAGTTCGTAAAAGTCCAAAAAGAAAACTGATGGGAACAGCAAGTTTTTCTACAGGCAACAGGCTGGTAATTGTCTCAACCATGAACCTCTGTTCATTGCCAACAGAACCGACAACTAAATCAAAATTTGGCTGGGTAGATGCATTCCATAAGCTGGGTTTGTTAGTCAAAAACTTTTGAGCATAATTGACAAGTGATGCACCAATACTCTCTGGACGGACCCCTCTGCATTTCATGGCTTCTATGACTTTCTGATACAAGTCAATCCGAAGAACTGAGAGATCTTCAATCCACCAGTCTCCATCACATTTGGCCTGCTTGTTCATGTGGAGCCTTCCTGAGCTGCTATACTCTAAGCGTGAGAAGCTTGAAGCTATTTGCTCTACACATGCCTTGGATGCTATTGCATCAGTGCATCTGCTGACAATTTTCAGCTCATCAGCAAGAGGAAGCAGGTTTTCACACTTCTGCAAGACTTCAACACACATTTCAAGGCTCTTGCAGACAACACTATCAAGATATGCTTCAGCACGAGAACCAAGGTTGTCTTTTGAATATTCCTCAGTCATTTCAAGGTAATCAGAAACGCAGCACAATTGAGCAACATTTGAGGCTGTAATCTCAAAGTTAATGCCATAGCAGAACTTTGCGGCCATGTCAAACGAATCAGCACCCCCAGGTAAGCTAGGAAGCTCTATCTGGGAAATATTAAAATCCCTATGCTCTGCAACTAACTTACGGATCCGCCCACTTCGAGAGACCAGAGGAAACTGCTTTCTCCAAATTAAAATGATTAGAATATTTCAAAATATACAAATACAAGTATATTATATTCGACTCTAGACACAGAAAAAAAGGAGATAACACTTTTATCTCTTCTGCAGATCTGAAGTTTACAGCTAAAACCAAACTGCTAGGTTATATATTACTCTAGTACTTTTAAGGTGTGGGACATCAAGGAGATCTAATTTTCTTCACAAAATTCATTCTAACAGTTTCTTATTTCATTGATCTTGACTCTCCACTTAGGAACCCCACCTGAAATCAACATACTATAAGGGTTTATCTGTTGGAATGAATTCTCTTTATCTTTATGCCCCTCAATATGCCCCTCAATAGGAACCCCACCTGAAATCAACATCTAATCGGTAGTGAATCCTCTCTTAGGGAATGATCAAGTCTAGAGTTCCCCCGGAATACTATACTCTTGCCTGAAAGAAAAAGACATGTATTGTAGAAAATTTAGATGGGATTTCAGTTTCAGAGTGGATAATGGAACTCTGGTTGGGGATGAGCAAGAGGATGAATGAACTAGATGATATCTTTTATTTTTTAACCTCAGTTGATGTCTGTTACTCTGTTGACATGTTATGTCTTACATAAGATAGTAATTGGTATTCTGATTTGGTATTATTCCAAACATCTTTGTTTTCTCTGGCCATGATCAGTCCATGCCTTTTAATCATAATTAGCAGATTAATACTCTAAATAAATGAATAATTTGACTTTCATTAACTTGTCCACATCGTCGTCATTGTAATCATCTAAGCCCTGTCCCAACTATATGGGGTCAGTTTCAGGAATCCTGTTTTGCCATTTTGTTCTGTTCAATGCCATATCCATCATTAAATTATGGGTGTACATCCATATGAGAGAGTATATATCATTTGGAAAGAAAAAAAGGTCTAGGAGTTTGGTATCTTAATGAACCATGCATGGAATCATACAAAGCAGTGGGCATAAATAAAATCATAATGTAAAATACAAATTTAAGTTGTAGAACAGGTTAGGCCTTAGGATCAAAGAAATGTGGCTAGGCTAAAATTCTCACAACAAAGAAAACAACAGCGGAAATGGGAATGACAGAAAATCCCACCGAAGTATCTCCAAGAAGAGGCTGGTTCTCCAGTTCTTAGGAATGATACAAATTTTCCTATTAACATTCAGAAGATTCCTTGATGGATATAGCACTGAACAGAACGGAATGGCGAAACAGGATTCATGTAGCTGGCCCCATATAGTTGGGACATAGCTTAGATGATGAACTTTCAGAAGACTCTTGTGAAGAGGCTTACAAAAAATTCATTTGTAGGTCTCCAAAAGAAAACCCTACTAACTTTAGATCACAGACCTTTGCTCTAACAATATCTAGACTATGGTTCACAATGTTGACATCGATAGACATTTTGCCATGTAGAGATGGAGAAATTTTGTGGACATTTGGCTAATTTTGCTAAGATATCTGAAGAATCTAAAAAATCTAAAAAATCAGGGAAATTTTTCTAGAAACACAAAATTAGTTAATAAATTTTCAAGGAATCATTAGAAGAAGTATGGTGGCACATTTGAGGCTCGAAAAACCATAGCAAACAACTGTACAAATAAAATAAGAGAAGATTAAGAGACTTAAATAGGTATATTTCTCTCTATCTCCCTTCGACTCTTTTAGCCATCTTCTCTTCTTTACATATGTCATTGACTTTCCATTTTAACTTGTCTTTTTGTTAGGGTAAAATATAAAAATCTCCCCTGTAGTTTTGAAAAAAACTGCAGTTACCCCCCTTCCATCATTGTCATAGACGGAAAACCTTGGCCTAATGTATTATTTTACACATGCCTATCAATTCATATGCAAATTTACTAAAATACCCCCAAAAGAACTTTAACTTTTAGCTAAAATACTTCCTTGGGTTAAATTGAAAAAAGTAATTTTACTTCATAAATTCATTAGCTAGAGTGAAGTCTAGAAGGGTAAATCTGATATTTTGGATTATTGATAAAGATGCCCTAACAAGTTGTAAGGGAAATTTAATAAATTCCAAGTCTCCATTATTGGAACAATGATCAAAGGGAGGTAACYGCAGGTTTTTTTCCAAACTCCAGGGGAGGCTTTTATTAGAGTGAAACCTTAGGGGAGGTTTTTGTGAATTGTGATTGTCAGAAACCTCAGGAGAGCTTTTTATATTTTACCCTTTTTGTTATTATTATATGTTTTAATTAGATTGACAATCCTCTTTTGTAGTTGTCTGCCTTTTTTTTTCTTTTGAATTATGGAGACTTAGTAAGTGAATCATATTAGTATAGTCAGCCATATTGGAAAGTTTTCTGATGATATTCCAAAATTTTAATCCTTAAATGTATAATTTATCAATGAAATTTGAAAATTTGCTTACATGCCAGCAATATATTGGAGCTATTAGGAAAAAACGATTCTTGTATAATTTCATATCACCCCCTAGAAAAGTTTGGAGATTTTGGGAAAGTTTTCCAAATCTCACCGACATCATGAACCATGACATAGACCATAAACAAAGAATCTACAGAAGAATTGGACAAAACTATAGTTAGGTGATCACATGAATGTCAATGACATTATAAGTAAATTTAAAAGACAAAAAATGACCTTGCATGGAAACCAAAAGAAAAGAATAGAAAGAAAAAGGATTAAAATAAGGAGCAAAAGATGTGTAAGTCCTTCACTTCTTGGGCTGCATATACATAATATAACTCAAAGCAAGGATACTACAGACAACAATAGAAGCTCACAGAAATATGAAATTGAGAATAAAATTGGTAGCAGCTGGTAAACAGGATTAGCAATCTGTATGTTAAGAATCATGGAAACATAGAAGGATGATTAAGCAGAGCAGTAATGTTAAACTTCTAAAGAACACTTTTGAGTTTTTCTACAATATAGACAATGGAAAATGAATTTTACAGAAATATTTAAAAGACTGAAACAAGCAGGAATAATATCTGATATATGCATCTTTCAAGACACAATATATTTTGATTAATGACATTGTTGCCTATGATTATGTAAATGGAACATATAAATTTCCAGACAAATGAAAGAACTCAAATAGCTTCACAAAGATTTAATAGCTTCTTCCATACAGAAATGAATTTGCAGAATAAAATGGCATAAATAATTTAAAAATAATTATATAGATTTACCTTATGCAAAGCAAAAGTAGCTCCACTGACTTCTATGGTAATATCACTAGGAACATCAGAGAATATCCTACAACACAACAACAACCAATTCTCAAAATACAATTGCTTATGGATATGCCATAAGTTTAAGATGAAGAGGGTCACATGGCTTCTTATAAGATTTCAAATGTGTAAAATAAATGAAACTTAGGTCAACAAAGATCTTAATAACAATTACTAAAGTCAAGATACAATAAATGAGAAAATGTTTTCCACATGGCTGTGTACATCTATCCCTCCCCAGACCCTGCATTTGCAGGAGCCTCATTGGGCTGCCCTTTTTAAAACCGGTACATATGATTTAAATAAAGCTGTAAGAATAAATTTTCTAATCCCTTCCTAGTGTTTGTTTTAACTTCCAAAACCTAGGTTTTCAGATTTTGCTGCCCTTCCTTGATATTTCCATTTTAGTATAATTTACAACCCATTCACTGAAAATTCAGCCTGTTTTAGGTGAGGAAGCCAACAATATCATTTGATGTGTGTTTCCAAGGCCTTTATATTATTTATTAGTATAGGGAAATCTATTTTACCTATTTTTGGCAGGTAGAAGATTAAATTTTACATGAAAAGACCATCTTATTGCTCCTTGAATGAATAAGGGATACTTTTTTTTTCTCCTCCATTATACTTCTTGAAAAACACATGATGCTTTTGTTGCCCAAAAGTGCAGTTTTATAATAGGAGAGGTAAATGTCAGGGAATGGCTACATATTTAAGGTGCTCCAGGAGAGGTTTTCAAAAGTTTGCAAACCTCATAAAGTCAAGTTACTATTGATTCCCTCCTTATCATAACCACCATCATATTACAAAACCATGCCTCAAATTAACTATTCTGAAAACATGATTTCACTCAACAAGAACAAGTAGGATATTATGGATAGACAAATCTGTTTAGGACCTGCATTCAATTACTACTTAAAAGATATCATCAAAACACCAGAACTAAATAAGATATTCCTAAGAAAAAAAATATACAACTAAAAGATGCCCGAATTAAACTTCTAAGTGGGAACAGAAGAACATTCCAATTGGAAAATGGCAACTTGGTCAGTGTTGAGTTTGCCTTGGCATTGCCAATTCGAAGCCTGGATGGAGGAGGGWCATATCAGTTTGGAAACTGAAATAGAAAAGTTGTCAGACTGTCTTGAAATAGCAATTAAATAGAAGACTTGAATATATTAGTAGGAGTAAATTGCATCAACATGCTTATAACTTTTTAAGAGGCACATCTTTGTTTGTTAAAAGACACTTTATTCATTCCCCAACTGCACGTAGCAAGATTCAGTGATGATTAGAAAGTCATATACATTATAGAAGAGATATGGACTAGTTAATGCTTATATTGGCCATTATTTCTTTTGAGGTTTTTCTTTAAATTTTCAAAGGGAAATTTTAAACATTTTAACACTAACCGTGCTTCACATAGATGAAACGAAGATGAAATGATGTCTATGGATAGTTTATAATCAGAACATTGCTTACCTTCAAGTCTAAGAAAACAGATTACCAATAGAAATAGCAAAGGTGAAAAAGCAAGAAGTTTTCCAACAAAAAATAGATGTTGTCATTGGAAGAATTCCTTCTTTGCACAGAAAATTAGTCAAACAAACAGAAAAAGATACAGATCAGAAAAACTATGCTTTAATTGATTGAGGTTTGTAGTTGGTGCTCCTATTGCATGTGCTTGGTTTTCTTAGTAGAGAAAAAAGTACTTGGTTTGCTTACTGGAGTGACACCAGATCTACTTACAGATACATGTATCAAGTGGACCCTAAATGTATTCTTAAGTACTCAAGACAGATCTCATTTCTGGAAGAATTCACTACTCAAAACCCAGATGGTTGGTAAGGTCTCCTGCTGGTCATAGCGGAGACTTGGGATYGAATCCCGCCTGCACCTGAGTTGGGGGATGGGCTACCCCCCATTGTGTAGCCCTTCAGAAGATATCAAAAAAGCAAAAAAAAAAAAAAAATCAGATTTTCAAAAATCAAATTTAAAAGAAATTTTATAGTTAATATGAATTCAATGAAATTGATGAATAGGAAGGAATTGGTTTTCTAGAGTGATATTCATATTACCAATCAAATTAGTTAAAAAAAAATCATGAATGCATACAGTGCTTCATGCTTTGAACTGGCTGGCGATCAAGAAAATTGTTCATAAAAGACCATAACGGTATTAACATGCATAAAAATTACGAGCTAAGTAAATTGGATCCCCTACGGAAGAAAATTTTTGTGAAGCCAAAGCCTGTTCTTGAAAAGATTATTAACTTGAAATCAGACATCCATTTCAACCCATATAAGTTACTGCATTACCCGGTTCTAGTTAGTACTTGGAACTGCAAAAGAAATTTGTTTACACTAACATGAAAATAAGCCCTTGCCAAGCGACATCAACCTGGGGATAAATTAGTCGAAGGTGCATAACCCCAAAAATCCAAAAACAGAGATACCCTCAGGAAAATAAAACAAGAAAAAGAAACTTCATTTGAATATGAGAAGAAGTCAACTTCAACTAACATCTCCAATGGAAGCACTATGACAGGAGTGTTCTGCTACTCAAATTGTTAAACAAGCGCCAACCCAACTCCTAATTCCCACCAGAGTTTTAGAAGCAACTAACCAAACTTAACTATAATCTATACTCTTTCCATAAAAACAAAGACAACCCATGAACGCTCTTCTTTTGCACATTACAATATAAGCCCACAGTAGGCGAGAAAAAAGAAAAATACGAACATAACATACAAGCTAAACTAACAATTAAGTGTAAAACGAAAAAGAAACTAGAATAAACCCAACAAAGCAGCAGAGTAAGACAGAGAGAACAAACCACTCGTTGTTGCATCTCTTCCCGGCGTTCTTGGACAAGCAGAGATGCTGCTGATGCATCTCGTGCCGGGCCATCATACAGAAGTAACGGAACCCAAATATGAAATAGTGCAGTATAGAGAGAAAGAAAAAGCAAAACAAGAATGAGAAGAATGAGCAGAAGAAGAAGAAGAAGAAGAAGAAGAAGAAGAAGAAGAAGAGTGAATTGAGGTGAGCCAGTTGTCGGTTTCGCTGTTGTTGTTGGGCCATTTTCGTCAAACAGCTGACGTTCAAACAATAGATTGCAATCGTCCAGAGGTATGGCCCAGTGGTGGGTCATACTGCAAAGCCATCTACAGTCCCCCGATCTCACGCCCAGCAAAGAGGACTCGGAGTCAAGAACTTTACAACAAAATCCAAACAAAGTCAAAACTGTTTCAGAAAGATGAAAAGAAAAGCCGGAAAAGAAGTCGTTATTTTAGTTTTGCCACTTGACAAAGCAACGAAAGAGAGTCTCCCCAATTAGTGTGTCGAAATCATCATAGTAAAGTGGTAAACCTCAGCCTCTCTAAACTTCGTAGGACCCGGTGGGACCCGTGTTATAATGGGGAACGCATGCCCACTACCACTGCCCATTAGGGTACTCGAATTCCTGTTAAGCGGGGTCAATGGGTCCCACTATTTTCTGATTTGGGGTTTTGATGATGAAAGGTCCCATTGCATATTAATAATTATAGTAATGAATGGATGTCTAAGGTGATCTGATTTGATACGATATGATGTTTCTCATCCTACAACCATTTTCAAGGAATTCGGACAAATAGAAAATCTAGGTCAGTGTCGTATAAGGATGTCTACTTTCTCTCACCCAATATATATCACTTGGCATTTATGCCTTACGTGGGACATTACCAATGGCTTAACAGCCCGTTACACAGCCATCGCATTCACCCCATCAGTCCATCAGAATTTCTTCTCATAACGGTTTCTTTTCTGGCTTTATATGGGTGGGTCATAGTCCCGGCAAAAAGTTGATTCAACCCAATTTTAAAAAACAGGGTTAGGATTAGGGTAAATTGTGATGTAACCGTTTTTGGTCACATAATTGTATAAATTTTTTGGCTAAGTACCTCGTCAGTGACGTCTGTTCCCAAGTGACCTGTGACTCAGAGGCTGAAGTGGAACTCCCTAGTGGCGAGCTACTTGGTGGCGAATTGCTTGGGAGGTGTCGGGCTGATCAGGTGGCGAGTTGAATTGATGAGCTTCGTTGCTCTTTAGAGTCCTGCAAGGAACCAAATGTTAGAGGACCCGGGGTGACTAACTCGGCGAGGTCGCTCCGATGCTTAAGTCAGTACTCTCATGGTAGACTACGAGCTAAAAATCATAAAGTATGAGACCTAGGATATGCTTACTTGCTTACTTGCTCTCCCCCCTTGCCCTTGGGGTTGGTGCCTTTATATAAGCATTGTTTGGCGTGGGCTTCACGCACCATATCCGAGATTTCTGCGAGGTCGTCTAAGTGGTTCGAGATTCTTGGAGGTAACCACCATGCACATTGACCACCCTCTAGATCGTTCGACACGTGGGCCAACTTCCAAGGATCGTGGGAGTGTTAGGATATGCATGCTAAATTTGTCGGTGAGCACGTCTCGCAGGTCGCGCTTGTGCCAAGCTGTCAGCTCGCGCTAGGGCCAGGTTGCGCCTGTGCCAGTCTGCCAGCTCGCGCTTGTGCCAGGCTGCCAGCTTGTGCTTGTGCCAGGTCGCGCCTGGACCAGGCTCCTAGCTCGTGCCTATGCTAGGCTGCCAGCTCATGCCTGTGCCAGGCTGCTAGCTCGTGCCTGTGCCAGGTCACGCCTGGGCCAGGCTGCCAGCTCGTGCTTGTGCCAGGCTGCTAGCTCACGCCAGGGCTAGGCCGCCAGGTCGCACCTGTGCTAGGTCGCTCCTATGCCAGGCCGCCAGGTGGGACACCATCGTCTTGGCTAAGTTGTTGCTAAAGTGGTTCCGGGTGTCACCTAGTTGTTCTGAGGTGCCATGTGTCACAATATCATTGGAGGGCCAAATCCGCCCTCATCATTTGCCCCCCACTCCCGAGCTGAGAGTAACTCAGCGAAGGGAGTAAATTTCTCCTTTTGGCCCGGAATGAATAATTCGATGAGCTCATAAGCGTTGATTCAATTCCTTAGGCTCTAGGAGCGACTCGCGGTTTGCTCCTTGATTTTGCCCATGCCGAAGAGGCGACTGGGTCTTATGTGGTGAGGAGGTCTTCGCAAGCTCAGTATTTTGGCCCTTAGGCTCTGGGAGCGACTCGTGGTCCACTCTCCTTGATCTTGTCCATGCCGAAGAGGCGACTAGGTCTTATGTGGTGCCGTAGTCTTTGCCAATTCGACACCTTAGCCCTTAGGTTCTGGAAGTGACTCGTAGTCCACTCTCCTTGGTATTTGATTTTGTCCATGCTGAAGAGGCGACTGGGTCTTGTGACGAGGAAGCCTCTTATCAGTTCATCAGTTCGCGCCTGGCCAGGCCGCTAGGTCGGTGCCCGTGCAAGGTCGCACCAGGTCGGCTCATGTGCCAGGCTGCCAGGCCGCCAGGCCGTGTGCAGGCCGCCGGGTCAYGCCCTAGAGCTATGGTTGTGCTGCATCAGCCCCGTAACGCCGGTTACCAACTCCTACAAGAAGCTACTAGGAGCTCGACCTTCGAGGGCAGCACTACTAACTTTGGGTCGCCAGCTCACACGGGAGCCTTGGAAGGCTCGACTAGCAAGGGTGCCCATGTAGTCTGTTGGCCGCCAACTCCCACGGAAGCCATGAAGAGCTCATCTTTGTAGAGGGAACCTCACGAAGAGGACTGATGAGGTTTTATCTGAATTAAAAGTAAAGTTGGTAGATCTGCTTAGTCTGTTAGCTCCCTGCATAATCTTTGAGTTCATAAAAAATGGAAAATATAAAGCGAGAGTTTCAGTTTCTAAAAAATGAGGACTTAGCCTTCTAGAAGAAGATGACTTATCTTTTTAGAGGAGAACTTAGCTTTTTGTAGGGTTTCCCACAGACGACGCCAATTGATGTAATCATTCCTGGTCACGTATCAATTTTTTTTTGTGATGTATTAATTTTTTGGCTAAGTACCTCGTCAGTGACGTCTGCTCCCAAGTGGCCAGTGACTCAGAGGCTGAAGTGGAGCTCCCTAGTGGCGAGCTGTCTGGTGGCGAGCTACCTGGTGGCGAACTGCTTGGGAGGTGTCGGGCTGACCAGGTGGCAAGTTGAATTGATGAGCTTCGTTGCTCTTTAGAGTCTTGCAAGGAACCAAATGTCATAGGACCCGAAGTGGCTAACCTGGCGAGGTCGCTCCGATGCTTAAGTCAGTACTCTCATGGTAGACTGCAAGCTAAAAATCATAAAGTATGAGAGATAGAATATGCTTACTTGCTTACTTGCTCTCCCCCCTTGCCCTTGAGGTTGGTGCCTTTATATAGGCATTGTTTGGCGTGGGCTTCACGCACCATATCCGAGATTTCTGTGAGGTCGTCTAAGTGGTTCGAGATTCCTGGAGGTAACCACCCTGCATGTTGACCACCCTCCGGATCGTTTGGCACGTGGGCCAACTTCCAAGGATCGTGGGAGTGTTAGGATATGCATGCTGATTTTGTAGGTGAGCACGTCTCGCAGGTCGCCAGGTCGCGCCTGTGCCAGGCTGCCAGGTCGCGCCTGTGTCAAGCTGCCAGCTTGTGCCTGTGCCAGGCTGCCAGCGTGTGCCTGTGCCAAGCTGCCAGTGTGTGCCTGTGCCAAGCTGCCAGCTTGTGCCTGTGCCGGGCTGCCAGCTTGTGCCTGTGCCAGGTCGCGCCAAGGCCAGGCCGCCAGGTGGGACACCATCATCTTGGTTAAGTTGTTGCCAAAGTGATTCCGAGTGCCACCTAGTAGTTTTGAGGTGCCATGTGTCACAATATCATTGGAGGGCCAAATCCACCCTCATCAAATTGGGTCATGGGTCAATCCGTTGATTCGATTGTTAAGTTTAATTGAGATTATTTATGTATTATTAAAAGTTTTCATTCTTTAATTTTTTCTATTTAATCTTTACTTTTTAAATTGCTAAATGTTCAAGCTTTTTTATTTTATATTTGAAATTTTAAGGTTAATTCTTTTAATTTTGACATTTATATGTAGTCTTTTTTTATTTTTTAAAATTTTAGTTATTTTTTGGGATGACCCAAATTGACCCATGGGTCAACCCTAACCCGAATATTTAGGGTTAGGGTCTAACATTTGGCAATCCGACCCGAAATCAAGGGTCTTCACCAACCCGAACCCGATCCACGCAACCCAATTGCCAGGTCCAATGGGTCATCATAAAAGGGGTGGTCTTTGGGTTAATTAATTACTTGGGTCTTACGCAAGGAGTAGTCTAGTCAGTCAGGGCTGAGGACTCAATGACTCATGCCATGCATTTTGATGACATTGACTTCATGATATTCTGATCTGATGTACTACAAGAGTCTCGTGGGGCCCACTAAATAAATAATTGCGCTGAGGTATTCAGTTATCGCATAGTGGTGTTCAGTTATTGATCAAGTGGTGTTGAAGGGATAGTAGCTGGCCATCATGTAGTAGAAATTATTTTTAAGTGATAGGACATAAAGCCCTCCCACAGTGACCCTTAAAAGGTACCACAAGAATCAAATCTAAGGTATGCACACTTGTACTATCCTTAGGGTCAGTTAGAATTGTGGGCTCCATGGTGGTTTGTCATTGGATTTGGATCACTTGTTTACGAAGGGACATCGAAATTGGGGGATCCACATGAGGAAACATGGCTAAACATCAGATGGGACTTCGGGAACAAGTCACCTGACCATTTCTCTTTCACCTTAAAACTAATTTTTGGTCAAAAATCGTTGATAATATGTTTTGGTTGTTTTTTCTTTTTGTTATTTTTTATTTATTTATGAGAACAGACTATTCATTCGAATCAGACTGTTTGGCCCGGAAAATAGAACCATAACAGTTATCTGTCCGGTCTGATTTTATGAACCTTGGTTAGTACTTGGTACAATTTGGGAAATGGGTATTGGATATTTCGAAGGATAAATAGAAGTGGAGAGGAGCAAGAGGGAGCAAGAAGTGTGGTGCAATAACACCTCAATGCACGGATTTCTTTAGAAGGAATTTGATTTGAATTGAATGGATGGGGTTGACAAAACTACTAAAAGGAATTGTTAAGTCCATATTCCTTCTCTAGGAGGTTATGGTGCTGGTTTAAGAAGGAAGGAGTTGAATTCTTCAAATGGGAGATTGATGCATCTTTAGGAAGTTTGGCAGGTCTTTTCGTGTGGATTTTGGGCTGTTTCGAAGCCCAGAAGCCTGAATTATGGGCTTTTCCTGTATGACAATGAAAAGATCTATTGGGAAAATGCTCCAGTCCATAAAAGACGCTAGCAACTTGAATTTGGGCTTTTTCAGGAAGCTTCAAATGAAGTTTTTACAATCTTTTAGTGCCCTGTCTTCTTCGAATG